CGGCGGGTCGCTCTAGCGCTAGAAAATGGCCAGTATCCGTGTAAACTGAATTGCGCCGATGTCAGCGTGAAATTAAAACGTATGGAAAACCGGTTTCTCGCGGCGGCGGCAGCGGTGTAGCGAGCTCGCGCGCGAGTGAGTGAGTGAGCCTCTCGTGAGCTTGGTTCCGTGCTCGGTGCTGTCTGGACCCCGGAATTTCATCGACCGATAACTTCTGCGGGAGAGGACAGAGGGGTGAGAGAGTGTGCGGAGGATCTGGCTGAAATTTTTCAACGATGTGAATCGATCGTAAGGGGGAGGTAGTGATTTGAGAATTTTGATAAAGGAGGAATGTCGTGAAAGTGAGTTTGTGGGAGGAAATTGGGGAAAATCGAAGATTGGAAGTGGGTTTGGAGGTTGGTTCGGGTGGAGATTGTTTTTTGAGTTTGTTCTGATAGTGTGACAGGGAAAGTTTGGGGGAATGTGAGGTTAATTGGGTGGTCTGAGAGTTGTCGAGATTTAGAAGTCGAAATCTGAAAATCTGAGATTGGAGCAAAGTGTCTTGATGGTAAAACAGCGGGTAATCTAGAAGTCTCGAAGTTTGCTTTGGTTCGATTGAAAATTGCTGGGAATCGGTTGGTTTAAGTCTTTCAAGCGTTTTCGACGTTGGTGTTATTACTGTGACGCGGAAAACGAAGAAAAACTGGTTAATTTGAGAATTATCAAGATTTAGAAATCGAACGAATGTTCTGAAAATTTCCTGAGAATGGATTTTAGCAAAGTGTCTTGATTCTGAGTTCTTTTCGCGTTAATTCGACTGAAGATTGTCGGAAATTGTTCAATTCAAATCTTCGAAGGTTCGTCTGCGTTACTTTTACTACTGCGACTCGATCGTCGGAAGTCTCTTGAAATCTCGAAAATTCTTTCTGTCTTAACTCAGCTGAAGTGATCGGGAATCGATTCGGATATTCTCGTACCGTTACCGTGACTCGGAAACGTCCAAGGAAATGCGAGGAAAATTGAACAGTTCCTCTATCTCGCGATTTTGTCGGAGTGATTCGCTCGCTTGAAATTCTGCGAGTAATTCAGTGGAACCGCTCGCTTCGATAGTTATCAGAAAGTGCACTGGCAAAATTAGAGGTTTCTAGCACCTTCTGAAATTACCGAAGAATGAGTTAGACATTGGAAAGGTTAAAAGTTCTGCAAGACTTGACTTGATTGAATGTGTCGCGATCGTCGGAGAGATCGACGACGCGGGATCACTTGCGTCGAGCGTTGTCGAGGCTTACAAAGAATATAGAACAAACCAGAGCTTTTCTGTCGCACAATTCGAAGGTGAATAAATTATTGAAAATTCTGATAAAAGTTCGGCAAAAATTTCTGGCTTTTTGCATAAAAATCTTGGAGATCTGCAAATTAGTGTCTTCGAAATTAAGAAAAGAATTGAATAAACTAGATTTTTCTGGAAATATTTCGAACGTTGCAAGAGAATACTCAGAAAACCTTAAAAATCTCGAAAGCATCTCTCCTCGGCGATCATCGAAAATTCTAGAAATTTCAGTGGACCTTTCTCATCTGTAGTTCGATCAGATATCTCAGTAATCTTACTAACGCTTGAAGCGCTACGAGAGAAAATGTTGGAAAAGGTAAAGCGCGGAGCAGAAAAAATCGTGTCCAAAGATCTTCGAAATCATGACAGAAAAGTGGCACGAGAAACTGTCTCGCAGGGTGCAATTGGAAGAAGTGTCCTTGTTGGATAAATTGGCGCGTTATCGCGTGAAAGTGTCGTAGGTCGTGCGAGAAGCGCATCGTCGAAACTGGCGGAACGTGTGGCGAATACCGAGAGGGCGGTCCTCGTCCCTTCAGCAGCGCTTTTTCTGCGGCTTCGAGCCAGCCCCAGGGTGTCTCGCGCTTCGAATCACGCTAATGGGTGATTACGATGCCCGACAGGCGACGATTTTCTCCGAACTCCACCTCCGTCCTTCCATTTTCTATCTCCGAATCAAGTGGAGACCCGTGGATACTCGCTTCTTGTACGGTTGAAGTTTCTTGGAGGATGGAGGAACAGTAGGAGAGATTTGTGGAATCGGGTTGCGAATGGTGTGTTGACTAATGGATTGGTAGAGAGTGATTTTTTCTGTAGCGAAAGTGTCTTCTGGATGATATCTTGAAGGGAAGAATAATGTTGGAGGATCAAATTCCGAGGAGGAGGAAATTCTGAGCTTTTTTGTTGTAAAAGTGTCTTCTTGGAGATTTTAAAGCAAAGAGAAACACTGAAAGTTTCAACATTCAATAATTTCTTCAAAATACTCACTTTTTTGTGGTAAAAGTGTTTTCTTGAAGATCACAGAGCAAAGAGA